AAGGTTCCTAGCAAAGGTTCCCACCTCCTAGCAAAGGTTCTTTGTATAGTATAGAATCTTTGTATTTGGAAAGTTCTTCAGTTGCCCTTCTCACTTCTCAGTGCTTCAGATGAAAAGATATCAGGACTTTTGCAGCTATTTAAAAGTGCAAATAGCACACCAAATTTTTGTGATGTCCATGTCATGGTACTGAATAGCATGCAACAATGGGAGAGAAACTCTCAGAATCAGTCCTGCAACACTCCATTGTCCTGAATCCAAACAAACAAGCAGCCATGCTTATAAAAGAAAAGTATAACATATCCCTTCCTCCTGCTTTATGCCTCTTACATTTTAAGACTAGCAGATAGCAGTACAGCAACAGAGATTTAACACACAAAATGTCTCTATTGGTTAAAGCAAATCACAGGATTGGTGCAACCCAAAGTGACAGAAACCTTTACAGTCAAACAGTAGTTAGAGAAGGGAAAGACCAAAGAGAAAGTAACTTGTTTTCCTCTGTGCTCCATAGTGTTGCATAGCTTAACAAAGGGACACAATACGGTAAAAAATAAAAGATTTAGGGGGAAAATATCTTTACATATGTTTAAAAACAACATCTTAAATTATAATGAAAAGTAAGCACATTTCCAACACTTGCATTTACTGGTCACTATTTTTGCTGATTGTGTTTTGTTTTTCTTTCAGTTTACACAATGAAAACACACAAGTAAGGTTTAATTTTATTTTTGTTATATTATTGCCCTTTTCCCTCCTCCCTTTGTCTACTCTTTAAATTTGTCCTGCAGAATCTAAATGTTCATTAAGAAAACACTGTTTCTAGCACATATGGTTCTGTATGTAAAAGAGGACAGTGTTGTTTTCTCGTGTCCGCCGACTGTTTGGAACATTAGCTCTAAAAATTGTGAATTGCCACATTTCCCCCAGTTCACTGTCAACTCGGAGACACCAGGCTGACAATTGTAGAGTGACTGGGAGTTTTGCCCGTTACCTCAATGGGACCAGATTTTCACCCTTAATGTCAACTTTGGACAGGTCACAGAACACAGGACAGCATTTTGGGTATAATCTAGGATGTTAATTTACCATATAATCTCTTGTGTAGGTGTTCTTAAGTCTTCTCTATATAGGAAAGTTTTCCAAGATACCCCAGTATAGCTATACAGGTATAATTATACTGTTATAACCATCTGGGGGGCATGGATTCATGTCACACTCCCCCTTAGTATCTGGCCTGGGCTGGGGAAGCTAATGATCCAACTGGTGGACCAAAGTCGGTGATGAATCCTGGTCACATGCCGCCGGAGGCTTGTTGTGCATACACTAAGAAGAAGACCCCATGTGGGCACTCTTATGCAATTTAGCTTATCTCATTTCAGCCGCTGCTGAAGCAGTTCCAGCCGGTACTAGGACCCATGCAGCATTCCCCCTGCCATTGTGAGCTTTGGAAAGAAACTGCAGGGTAGAGCCAGCCAGGGACTAAAGCCTACAGAGCAGAAGCAGTTGAAGCAAGTGTCACAGTTCAGGGCAACTGCAGTAAGGCACCCATGTTAGGCTTCCAGATTCTCAACCATCACATCTCTCTTCCTCCTGATCAGAGTATTTCCAGACTGTACAGTTCTATGCCTTCAGTATGTTATTCTCCAGCAAGCCAGACTGCCTAGATAGGCCTGCGTCTGCACTTTGCTTACTCTTCAGAAGCTATGAACAGTGTAACTGCCACAGTCATAAGTTACCACACAGTTCTTTCTAAGCGGGTCCTTTTATTCTTAAGGTGACAGCATTAAAGAAAGCACATACTAAAAATAATAAAAGAACTTACACTCATGCTACTAAGCTTTCCAGAGAAAAGGGAACAGACCTTCAAACTGCAGCAAGGAATTTTCTGTGGTTACAAGTTCATAACTACTCTGGCTCAGAACAAGGACACCCATGAATTTGTGAGTCCCTTTTTTTTTCCAGTCTGTGCCTCTTATCCTGTTCTCATGTGATCGGCACACAAAAGCTTCCTGAGGCTTACATTAGTCAGGTCTTCTCCTCAGAGACATTACATACAGTTCCACAAAAATACCTATCCATTTGCACTTTTAATACAATGAATTTCTTAACTTCATTGTGGTTTGTCCAGGTGTGACATTGCACTCTATATGATTTTATAAAAATATGCTTCATGCAAAAGATCTCTTGTAAGGTATCATTACAAAGCTTATAATCTAGGGTTACCATCCGTCCGGGTTTCCCCGGACATGTCCAGCTTTTTCAGCTTTAAATGGCCATCCGGGGGAGATTTCTAATAAAGTAGAAATGTCTGGGATTTCCCCCTTCCCCTCATGCAGAGTGCGGCGCGGCTGATTGGATGGCTGCACCTGATTGAAAGCCGCTCGCAGCCACTGGGGCATCCAGCAGCCAGAGTCCCTCCCCCTCCCCCGCTTCCTCCTCCCGCACTCCCTCCTCCCCTCGCAGAGCAGCGCCACAGTGTTTGGCTGCACGTGGAGCTCGCAGCTCTCCCTCGGCCGGGGGGGGGGGCAGGCAAGGGACAGGGAACAGGGGGGTTTAGATTGGTCGGGTGGTCCTGGGGGGGTGCTGTAGGGAGAAGGGGGTGTAGAGAGCAGTTGGGGCAGTCAGGGGACAGGGAGCAGGGAGACTTAGATAGGGGGTGGGTTCCTGGAGGCAGTTGGGGGGTGTCCTCAGGAGAGGGCAGTCAGGGGACAGGTAGGGGGTAGGGGGATTCTGAGGGGGGCGGGAAGTGGGAGGGGACGGGGCTGGGGTGGGGCTAGGGCAGCACCCCATGTCCTCTTTTTTGATTGTTGAAATATGGTAACCCTATTATAATCTACTGAGTGTGGTCATCCTATTTGTATAAATGTATCACTCTTGTATCTGAAACTAGAAATATAAAATATAACTCTGAGGGCCTATTGTAATTATGCAAAGTGTGGGCCATTAATGGTGGTTTGGAATCTTGATGGCTCCCGTTAACCAGGACAGTTGTCTGTAGATGGCTCTGTTTTACTTGTGAGTCTTCCTCTATATGTGTGTGCTGGCAAGTGGGTAATGAAGTCTTACAGTGACATGTAATCATGTCACCTGAACTGGAATCCATCTTTAACCTGCTGCTTTTCCATTGAGAAGGAGAACCCAGAGGGACAAAGGATTCTTGCTTTATGCAAAAGATATATAAGTGGGTGGAACAGAGAAAAAGTGGCAGCCATCATGAGAAATCCCCTAGCTACCACCTGAGCTGGAACAAGGGCTGTACCAGGGGAAAGGATTGTGCCCAGACTTAGGAGGCATCCAGTCTGTGAAAGAAATGTATTGAAACATCCCTGACGGTGAGATTTTATCTGTATTAAGTTTTATTACTGTATTAGACTTAGATTAGCATGTTTTGTTTTATTTTACTTGGTAATTCACTTTGTTCTGTCTGCTATTACTTAGAACCACTTAAACCCTACTTTCTGTATTTAATAAAATCACTTTTTACTTATTAATTAACCCAGAGTATGTATTAATACCGGGCTGGGGGAAGGGGGGTGCAAACAGCTCTGCATATCTCTCTATCAGTGTTATAGAGGGCAAACAATTTATGAGTTTACCCCACATAAGCTTTATACAGGGTAAAACGGATTTATTTGGGGTTTAGACCCCATTGGGAGTTGTGCGTCTGAGTGTTAAAGACAGGAACTTCTGTAAGATGCTTTCAGTTAAGCCTGCAGCTTTGGGGCATGTTGTTCAGACCCTGGGTCTGTGTTGGAGCAGCCTGGTGTGTCTGGCTCAGCAAGACAGGGTGCTGGAGTCCCAAGCTGGCAGGGAAAGCAGGGGCAGAAGTCTTGGCACATCAGTTGGCAGTTCCCAAGGGGGTTTCTGTGATCCAACCCGTCACACCAGGATATTGCAGGAAACTGCCGTATCTGTCACAGTAGGGACCAAGGGACGCTGAGGATATCATCAGATTGTTTTCTGCCATTTTACCTCTGAATACTATATGCCCTGTGCACCCTCATACTGACTGTCTCCTTGGTTAAACCCCTAAGGCCTCCATCTCACAGACCTATCTTTACATATCCCCTTTGAAAGAATTTACATAAGAAAACAAAAGAAAAAAAGGCTGCAGAATTAACATGATGTTTTCAGCCATCACTTCGATCCTTCTGCTTGTATGTTATATCTTTCCCCCTTACCCTTTATTTGTCTTGTCTAGTCTGTAAACTCCTTAGGCCAATGATTGGTTTTTATTCTGTTTGTCCAACAATGCCTAATACTCTGGGGCCCTGTTTCCACTTGAGGCATTATGATAATAAGTGTTGATGATAATAAACAAGCCCTTTAACTATTTCACTGCTGTTTATTTTAGCAAATATACTTCCGCTTACCTCGGAACTGCTGTCCACTTATTCCCAGATGTAAAATCCTAGAAACTCCAGCTCTCACCTCCCCAGAGGCCAAGCTTCAACTTCCTCCTGACAACTTTACAAGTTATATGCTCTCAGTGCAAAGATATGTGATATATGAAAATGCAGGGGCGGGGTAAATTAAATTGAATTTCACATCAAGATAACAACACGGGGCTACGTACTGCTTTTATTATTTTCATATTACATTTGTTAAAACTCTCCTTTTTTTTTTTACTATTTCAATTGAGCTGCTGTAGAATTTCCAGTCTGCTGCATAAACATACTCGAGGTACCTTGCCAGAGACTATAGGGCAGGGGTCGGCAACCTCTGGCACGTGGCTTGTCAGGATAAGCACCCTGGCAAGCCAGGCCAGTTTGTTTACCTGCCACATTGGCAGGTTTGGACGATCGCTGCTCCCACTGGCCGCGGTTTGCCGTCTCAGGCCAATGGGAGCAGCGGGAAGCGGCGCGGGCCGAGGGATGTGCTGGCCGTGGCTTCCCGCAGCCCCCATTGGCCTGGAGTGGCAAACAGCGGCCAGTGGGAGCTGCGATCAGCTGAACCTGTGGACGTGGCAGGTAAACAAACTGGCCTGGCCTGCCAGGGGGCTTATCCTGTCCGTGCTGCATGCCGAAGGTTTTCGATCCCTGTACTAGAATAATAATGCAATGATTAGGTGGCATATATCATGGGGAAATGCCCATTAGTTAAAGTGTGTGTGGGGGGGGGCAGCAAAACCAATAACCTGATATCTTAAAAGCCAATAATACCAAAAAGGACTGAAAACATCTCAGTGTAAAGTCACTGAGTTAGTCTGTACAAACAAAATAAATAATAATACTAATAATATCAC